GGCTGGGCGCAGGGATGTCCCCGGCCTTGCTGGGCGAAGTGTGTGGCTGGAGGTGCTTGGGAATTTGAGTGGGGAGCACAGAGCTGGGCACTGCAGGCACAAACGTGTGTCCTCAGCCACCGTCCAGGGAACAAGTCACCTCCAGAGGGGTACGACCAAGATGGGGAGGAGGGGATGGGTGCAGAAATGGGGAGCACCAGGGATGGAGGGGGAGGCCGGGCTGGCCAAGGACTCTGGGAAGGGATTGCCGTGCAGGCAGAAGAGCCAGGAGCGTGAGCAGGGCGCACAGGAAGGTCAATGGCCACTCTAGAGGGCAGAAGCCACAGCTGCAGAGCGAAGGGGAGCCTGGTCGGGAGGAGAGCCCCTCGGGAGGTGTGGGGTGGAGGAAGGGCCGTGGGTGGCAGCTCCTGTGGCGGGTGGAGCCGAGGAGGGAGGCAGGAAGCGCTCGGGGACCCAGAATCGAGGCTGCTGCTGGCCCCAGAGAGTTGGGAGGCCAGAGCGCCTCCACCCTGAAGGCCTGAGGGACGGGGAGGGAGAGGGTCCCTGCAGGTGGCCAGGCCAGGGACTCCACGGTGTGTCCTGGACTGCGAATCGGGGTCTGGTCCTGGAGGCCATGCGGGGCGCCCCACATGCCAAGAGACCTGCAGGAGCACCCCCTGGGCGCAGGTCCGGGGCTCTGAGGACACTGGCCCCTCTGATGGGCAGACCGATGCCCTCCCAACGGCGTCCAGCAATCCGTAAATGTCACCTCCCAGGGCCAAGGGCTCTGCAGACGTGATTTATTTAAGGATCTTAAAATCGGGAGACAATCCTGGATTATCCAGCGGCTCAGAGTAATCACAGGAGTCCTCACAGGGGAAAGGGGGGCAGGCCGCGTCCCAGGACGGGGAGGGCAGGAGGGGCCGGGAGTGACCGAGAGGACGCGGCTCTGCGCGGAGGAAGGGGCGGCCAGCTGAGGGATGCAGGTGGCCTGGGGCAGGAAAAGGCAGGGCGGAGGCTCCCCAGAGACCCGGATGTCACCCCCTGGGGAACCTGGCACCTCCCAGCTCCCGAGCTGGGGGGGGACATCTGTGCTGTTTGAGTGGCAGTGCCGACACTGGTGTTCCTTGTCACAGCAGCCACAGGACACTCGCACCTGGCCACAGTGGCCTGTCTGGGAAAGTGTCAGGAGACTCTGTTGGGAGGAGAGTGATGGGGGCATGTCCCAGTGTCACCTCCTGGACTTCCCGCCTGTGGGAAGGGACGGGCTGGACACCTTCCTGGAGAGCCAAGGTTGAGTGTCCACCGGAGCGAGGGTCCTGGGAAGCAGGACATAGGGAGCCCTGCAGAGGGACTGGGGAGGGGTGGCCTGGGCCCCAGGCTCAGGGGAAGGGTCCCACTGCCCAAGCTGAGCACCAGCACGGCCAGGGGTGGAGCAGGGACGGAGCCCCGGGCTGGGAGTCCTCGGCGGCTGCGGCGGGGGCAGCGGTCCCCCTCCTCGGGCCTCCGTGCCTCCACAGATGGCAGGGGCTGGCCCTGGGTCGGAGGCCGCTCTCCTCTTCCAGGGTTTCCTGAGGGCAGACTCCTCCTGCTTCTCTCTGACCTTCCTGGGGGCTTGGGAGAGAGCTGGTGAGGTGACGGTCCCAGCCACACAGGGCCTGGCCCTTCAGCCAAGGTCACATCAACAGAGAGCCGCCCTGACCTTCAGGGCACAGGTGGGAAGACTGAGGTCCAGAGAGGTAAAGACACCGGCTCAGGGCCACCCAGCACGGAGTGGCAGGTTCAGAGAACGGGGGACCGAGGAGGGGCTCTCGGGCCGAGAGGCTCAGTCAGGACCAACAATCCAGGGGCCTCCTTGGGGCACAGGAGGCAGGGGACTTTGGAGTCTGGTCTAAGAGAGCCCTTGGAGCAGGCCCAGGTGGAGAGGGGACAGGGCAGGGCCTGCGCTACTGCTCCTGCCTACAGGCTCTGAACCCAGGGCCTCGGGCTGGGACACTTGCAGAGCAGAGGGGAGTGAGCCGTGGGGCCTAGGCAGAGACGCCGGCTCAGAGACGTCTCTGTTCCTCCTGCTGTGCCGCCCAGGGCCGGCCCCAACCCTCCTGCAGAACCCGAGGCTCACGGACACCACCCAAGACCACCGGTGCCCTCGGCTGGCTCCGCACTGGGCCTGGACTCCTCACCCCCGGCCCAGGCCAGAGAGTCCATGGAGGCCAGCGTTTCCGCAGCCCCTTCCAAGGGGCTGGGCCCGGGTTCTCCTGGCCACAGAACCCGGTCTCTCTGAAGGAAGAACCTGACCTGGCTCAGATTCTAACCACAAGGGGGCTTTGGGCAAGCCGCCGGCCTCAGCGCGAAACTGGAGGGGCCAAGATCACCTATCTCCAGAGGCCAAGAGTCTGGGCTTCCAAACCTCTTAAGCAAATTAAAAGAACACATGTATAGTGAGACGTGGTTTTGTAATTTCAGCCTTTACTGGCAACTGTCCTCATTTGACCAGTGAGAAAACAGAGTCCAGAGAGGTAAAGTGACTCACCAAGGACACACAGCAAGGCCGTGCAGAGGTAGAGCCTGCGGGCCCTGGATGTGTGCATCTTCCTCTTCCCCACACAGGGCTGACCCACAGGGGAGCCTTCTCTAGTGACTCAGGTCTGACCTGCCCCAACCCCTCTCATTCCTCTATTTCTTACAAACGAGAAAACTGAGGCTCAGGGGCCCTAACTCACTTGCCCGAGGTCACCCAGCACGGGAGCTGGGGAGCTCAGGGTGTGCCAGCCCCGAGCTCACACTCTTCCTGTTCCTATTCTGGAATGCAGCCTCCCAGATCCCCAGCCAGGGCTCCGAGGCTCGGCTGTCTGTCCCACCCTGTCCCAGGCCTGGGCTGATCGAGAGCAGCTGAACTCCGGGCAGCCTGAGCATCGCCCCCAGGGCGCCCGGGTGCAGGAAGCTGCAGATGCCCTGGCCCCTCGGTGCCGCGCCTCTCCTGCTCCATGCTCCTAGCAAGGAGGGAGGACAGCTCCCGGGCGGTTGGCAGAGCAGCAGCGCTCCGGCTGATGGAGAGATTACTCCTAAGCCCTCCCTCCCCCCGCAGGACCATGCTGGCCGTCCCCGTGGACCTGGAGAGTCCGCGGCTGAGGCAGGACAGCAAGCCCAGCTCCTCAGCGCCACCTCAGACCCTCACCTCTCAGGAGGGGGGCTTCGGGGTCATTCTAACGTCCCCCCCGGGGCTCTTCTGCAGCTGCAGGAGAGAGAGGCACAATGAATGAACTTCCGGCTCCTGGGGGAGGAGAGGGGAGAGACTAACTCTGCCAGGAACCGCTGGGTTGGAATTTTCTTCTCCCTTCGTCCCCACCACAAACCGTCCCTCTCCTGGCCCCTGGGCTGTGGGCTCTCCTTGCCTGGCAGAGAAGCCGCTGCAAATGAGCTCCGTGAGACAAGAGGGTGAGCTGGACTTCAGGGGAAGAAGTTGGTGCTGGGCGGGGGCGGGGGGCGCAGGACGGAGATACTGTGGAACACCCCTGGCCAAGCCTGTTTTGAGACGATGCCTCTAGAAGCAGCTTTGCTTGCCAGCTGTTTAGGGGCAGTCGACTGCCCCGTTGGGTGTGTTGTGAGTGCAGAGAAGGCAGAGCCCCAGGCTGGGAAACCGAGTCYGGGTTGGATTTGGATATGCTGTGTGACCTTGGACAAGTCACCGCAGCTCTCTGGGCCTTGGCTTCTGCACCTGGGAAATGAGCAAGCTGGGTAAGCGCTCCCTGATTTCAAGCACTCTCCCCTCTGCAGGCTGTGCTCCTTCCCCTGGTCCTACGCTGTGAGCAAAGTGACACAGGCAGCAGAGCAGGCTGCCGTGGGGCCAGCCAGTGTGGACTACACCGGCGTGAGTCACTCTGCACCATCCACCAGAGTCCAGCCTGCTCTGAGCTGAGAGGAACTTTTATTTCCATCAGCTGCTGAGTCCTCCTCCTGACTGCAGCGTGTCTGCAAATGTAAGGCTGTAGATGCTTTGGAGACAGCTCCGGCTGGAAGGAACGGTGTAAGAAATGGTTGCAGAATACTGAGGATGAGAAACGTTGTGGAGGCGATTTTTTAGATGTGTGAACGGGCTAGATCTAAATGCTTGTCTAAGTCAAGCTGTCCAAACAGGTGTAAAATGGAGAGAGCATTAGGGGTCCCTTCATTTTGCAGATTAAAAAAAAAATGCCCAGAGAAGGGGAGTAACTAGCTCAAGGTCACACAGCAAGGGTGGCTGAGGCAAGCGCACAATGGCACAATGACAGCATGGAGGAGAGCCCTCACTGAGGGACACGAAGGGCCCTCCACCCTCCCAGGCAGGTCCTCCAAATGAGGAAGCCAAGGAGAGGGTCAGAGCAGTCCTACAGAACTCCTCCTGAGAGCAGGCCTCTGAAGGCAGAGGCCCATGTCCTTGACCCCTCAGGAGCCAGCCTCCCTGAGCAGCCTCTCCGCAGCAGGTGCTTCTCCTTGCTGAGCCTCTTCCTGCCTACAGGGAGGGGGAGTCCCGTCTGCCTGGTGGGGCCGCTGGGGAGCCTCTGGAGTGTTCCCAGGGCACCCCACCCGCAGCCTCCCTGTGCCCCGTGACSTGGGCCCTCACGCCACCCCAGCCTCACAGACCAAGCAGGGGGCGTGGAGAGGCTGTGGCCAGTCCCTAAGGGATGGGAGCCTCGCGGGGACCCTGACGCCTCTCTACCAACCAACCGAGCCCCGTGGGTTTGTGAGAGTCCCTGCATGTGATTGCAGGATGTTGAGAACAGAGAGGCAAAGCCACATGCCCCGGGCCACACAGCCCGGATGGCCACCTTGTCTAGTTCAGGACCAGCCCCTCGAGTCCCCATGATCCCAGTGGCTGTTCTGGGAGACGGGGGTCAGGAAGCAGGGTGCRGGAGGAGCCACAGGAAAGCCAGGGAGCGGGTGGCCTGGGCGTGGGCCTCCCCCAGCCTCACCTCCCTGTCTCCTGCTCTTTCTCTGGTGTCAGACAGGTGCTCCACTGCTCCSGGGCAGGGACAGCTCTGGCCATGCCCGTGCCTTCGGGAGATGGGGTCCTGGGCCTCGGACACCCTCACGGTGGCTCCTACAGCCCCCTGAGCCAGCTCCTGCCGGGCCCCCCGGAGCCTCGGTCGGCCAAGGGCCTGTACTACCGCAGGGCCCGGAGGCTGGGCGCGCTGGAGGCCCCCCCGGAGGCGGACCTCAAGAAGGAAGTCCTGGTCAACGTCGGGGGCCGCCGGTTCCTGCTGCCCTGGAGCACGCTGGACGCCTTCCCGCTGAGCCGCCTGAGCCAGCTCCGGTTCTGCCGCAGCCGCGAGGAGATCGGGCAGCTGTGCGACGACTTCGACGAGGACACGCAGGAGTTCTTCTTCGACAGGAGCCCCAGCGCCTTCGCGGTGATCGCCAGCTTCCTGGCGGCSGGGAAGCTGGTGCTGCTGCAGGACACGTGCGCGCTGTCCTTCCGGGAGGAGCTGGCCTACTGGGGCATCGCGGAGGGCAGCCTGGAGCRCTGCTGCCTGCGCAGGCTGCTGGGGAGGCTGGAGGAGGCCGCCGAGCTGCGCCGCGAGGAGGCCCTGCAGCGGCAGCGCGAGGCCGGCCACCCCGCGGGGCGCAGCTCGCGCTGGGGGCTGTGCATGAGGCAGCTGGGCGACATGGTGGAGAACCCGCGCTCCGGGCTGCCCGGCAAGGTCTTCGCCTGCCTCTCCGTCCTCTTCGTGGCCACCACGGCCGTCAGCCTGTGCGTCAGCACCATGCCCGACCTCAGGGCCGAGGAGGACAAGGTGAGTGGCCCCCACGGGCCCAGGTGGCCGCGTCGTCACTTCTTGAAAGGCAGAGGAAATGAGACTGCTGTCCAGCGTGCCTGGTGTCGTTTTTAGGCCAGGGCAGTGGGAAGAGGTCACTTTTAGCCATTTCTGGAGGAAGAGGCCCACAGAGGGCTCCTGAGGGCCGTCACCTGGCCCGACCCGGGCGCTGACAGTCACTCCTGGTCTCTGTGAGGCAGGCAAGTCCCTTCACCTCTCCGAGCAGGACAGGCAGCACCGCCGTGAAGGCCCGCACAGGCCACGGGCCRAGCGCAGGTTCCTTGGGCAGCCGCTCTGCGCTGAGCCCCGGGCCAGGCCCAGGCCCCACAGTCTTGAGGCCCTCCTCCTGGGCGTCCCGGCTCCGTTTTCAGATGCAGAATCGGAGGCACAGACCATCTGGTTCCTTGCAGTTAGGTAGTAGAGACGCCGCGACGGCAGGGACCCCCAGGCCCCGTGCTCCCCTGGCCACCTGACCCCAGTCCCTCTCCCCATGGCCTCGCAGGATGGGAACGAGAGACGAGAGGGCTTGTAAGTGGTGCCGCCCCAGGAGGCCGAGCAAACTCGCTGCCTGCCCACCCCCACGTCRGGGAGACCCCAGGCCCCCAGGGCACCAAATGGCCTGAGAAGGGGAATGACTCACGTTTTTCTGGGAGAGCTTCCAGTCAGAACTCGAGCACCAGGCCTCCCTGCTCTGAGCTCCTCGTCGTCCTGGCCTACGGGGCTGGCGTTATAACAGGCAGTTGATAAAACACACACGTCCCCAAGGAGCCTGTGCCACAGAGGCTCCTAACAGCTGTCAGTCCCCCTAAGTGTCCCTCCCTTACAGACACACCCCAGGGCAAGACATAGGATCAGAGACCCTTCCAGATCCAAGAGGCCCATGGAGGACCAGTCTGTCCCCCACACAGTAGGCTCTCAGTGAATATTTGTGGAACCTGTAAACATCTTGTCCTGATAAAGACAACTGAGCTACTCAGAAGCAGCTTGTCCCCCTGCCGCCCCCCCCCCCCCCCCCCCACGAGCATTTGTCATTTGTTAGCACCGAGGCCCGCAGCGTAGAAGCCCGTGCTCCAGGGACATGTCCGTGTGCACTGCAGGAAGAAGACCAGGCAGAGTGGGCACCCGCTGACCCCGGTCCTCCAGGGTGCCCCACCCCAGCCGCCACAGCGCGCTCCTCGTGGGGATTCGCAGAGAGAGGCTGGAGGACCAGAGGGCCAGGGCCTCCCCAGCCCAAAGCTTAGAAACGGCAAAGGGGGCAAACTCGGGCCTGGCCTAATGTGACRCAGATTTGAGGTGGGACAGGGGCTTAGAGAGCAGGGCAGCCCCAAGCCGGCGCCTGGGGTGCAGCCTGGCCTCCTGGGTCGGAGGGACGGAGCATGTCCCGGCTGCGTCCTCAGGTTCCCCCTCTGAGAGGCGCAGCAGAGGATCTGCTTTCCTTTGGGGACGRTAACTCAGAGAGCTGGAGAGGCTGAGGGCGGCCTTTGTTCTTCCAAGTCTGTGTCCTCACATCGACATAAATGCCCCCAGGGGACATGAGGCCCAGAGCCCCTATTCAGGCAGCTGGCTGCTCACGCTGGCCGCTGCCCCTGCGGACTGGCCCTGAGGTGCCCACTCAGAGGAGCCGTGCCGCAGCAGGGACTCACCCACGACGTGACCCGCAGAGCTCCACTGGGGGGGAGTCCCCAAGGACGCAGCTTTCCGTGTTCTTTTCCTAAATGGTGTCAGCGAGGTCCCTGGGAGTGAACTTTGCCACCAGGGCCGGGTCTGTGCCTGAGAGTGCAAATTACAATGGGGGGGGGGGTGTGGGGGGCAGCGCACACAGCAAGGACCAAGCCTGGGGCCGGGGGCCGCACAGCTGCAGCTGGGCAGCGCYGGGTCTGGGCTTGCCCCACGTACTCTGATGCTTGTCAAGAGCCCACCAGGCCCCGTGGGGTGGGGCAGGGGTGGGCCCTGGGCCTTGCCTGAACTGCGGAAGTGTGGGCACCTGGCTAAGGTGGGGCCGGGGGAGGAGGGCACCGAGATCGGGGGCCACCACTGGGTCAGGCCGACGCAGCTCCCCCGGGTGCAATCTGCACCTGCCCCTGCAGCCAGCTCCCTCCCTCCACCTCACGAGTCAGGCTTCCATCCGGCCACCCTGCTCTGCACCTTCTCTTCCTCCGTGACACTTGGTCACTGCTCCCCTGGTTTCATCCTTCACACCCCCCTTGCACCTTCCTGGATCACAGCCAGAAAGATCTACTCCTGACCCCTGGGCCGGGCCCCCCTTCCCTAGTGCTCTCCGTCCGTCCTCTGCCTGGCACCGGCACATCCATCCGCCTCCTCTCTGTGGGTCTCGCTCCCAGCCCCCAAAGCCCAGCACCAACCTCATCCACCCAGCCTCGTCCACAGTCCTCCCCAGAGGCCCTGCCTCTGCCTGGGCTTGTTGTCCCGAAGATCTCTCCTTTAGTGATCACCAAGGGCACCATCTTGGAGGCCATGGGAGGTGGCCTCCCACCCTCTGCTCGGGGGAACCTCCAAGAGACTGGGAGCCGAGTTACAGTCAGCCCTTGGGATCCCTGGGCACGGGGCTCAGGGCGCCCCACCAACCTCAGACTCTGAGATCCAGGGATGCCCCAGTCTCTGGTGTGACATGGCACAGTGTTCGCATGTGACCTGCGCACACCCTCTGGTGGATTCACACCCCACCTCCAGGTCGACTCTGCTGCGCCATCCCCTCTGGGGGATATGACAAGGGAAGGTCTGGACATGCTCAGGGCAGGCGACACTTTTTTTTAATACTTTCAAACTGCATTTAGTTGGATCCACAGACACAGAGCCGCTGGTAAGGAGGGCCGGCCGGCTGCACTTATTAGACCCCTGCTGTGTCCCGAGCACTGTGTGAGTCTCCCTGACTCCTGTTTGATCCTCACCGTGACCCGTTCTTGGCCATGAGGTTCAGTGGCCGGAGCTCTCCAGTGACGCTCACTCCGCGGAAGAGAAGTCCTCATCCAGCCGGCCCCCGGAGGGTGGGAGGCCGGGGAGGATGGCCTCAGGGACAGGCCAGGGCAGCAGGACGTGGAAGCAGGAGGAGGAAGGCGGGCTGGACGGAGGGGCCCCTGCAGGGCCAGTCCCGAGAAGGGCCTCCCCAGGGAGGAGTATCCTGACCTCGGACCCTTGGCTCYCCCAGGGCCAGGAGCCCAGGCCCAGGTCACATCCAGCCGGGCCCACTGGGTCGCCATGCCTCAGAGCCCTGCGTCCCGGGGTGGGGAGGTGGGCAGACCGAGGAGGGAGCAGAGGAAGAGGAGACCTGGGGACAGGGCCACACGAAGAGGCCCAGTGGAGGGAGAGGTGGCCCAGGTGGCGTCGGGTCCCAGAGAGAACGGGGAGGAGAAGCTGGGGAAGAGGGGGTGAGCACGTCCCGCCCAAGAGAGGCCAGGAGGACCAGCCCGGACTCAGGCAGAGCCAGGGGCGCCATGTTGGACTCTGCCTGTGGGAAGGAGCCCAGGGAGGGCAGCCCCAGGGCACCAGAGAGCGAGACCCACAGGGAACTCAGCTCAGGGTGCAAGAGAGTGGCGACTCCGGCCACCTGCAGGACAGGCAGCTGCAGGAGCTGCATAGAGACCAAGGGAGAGAGGAGGGCTCCCAGGTCCAGACTGTCGGCCCTGCAGCGTCTGCCCAGCTGCCCATCCACAGACCCCGGCAGAGACTTGGCCCTCAGGAAGCCCTGTGCCCACCTAGGCCTGGGCAGCAGCTGGCACAGCAGCTCTGCTCTGGTGCAGCTGGACAGGGCCCAGCGAGGCTGCAGGCCCACTCACTGCCTACCAGGCCCGACTMGGCCAGCTCAGATCGGACATGGGATCCCTTCTTACTAAACAGGACACTACCAGAACCTTCTGCCTTCAAGGTGCACAGTTCAACAGCGTTAGGGCACTCAGAGCTGGCAACCATCGCCATGTCTTACTCCAGAACATTTCCATCACCCCAGGAACCCACAGCAGTTCCTCCCACCCCTACGCCCACCCCTTGTYCCTGGCCAGCCCTGGCCCCTTTCCACCTCTGCGGATCCGCCCTTCCTCGACCTTTCACACGCGTGGAGCCGAGCACGTGTGTCTRGCTTCCTTCTCTGGCGCCCTTTCTCAGGGTGCATCTCACCTTGGTGCGGATCGTACCTCGTTCCCTTCTATGGCTGATGAGCGCGGCATGGCGTGAGTGCCACACTGGAGCTACCCGTTGGTGGCTGATGGGCATCACGGTTGTTTCCAATTTACACCGAGAGGAGTAACATTGCTGGGGACCTTTGTGTGCAAGTGTCTGTGGGTGGACGTGTGTGTCCTTGTCTCTGCTGGGTCCCTTGGAAGCTCTAAACTGTTCTCCGCAGCAGAGGCACCATTTAGCGTCCCACCAGCAGCCACGGAGGGTCCCACTTCTTCCCGATCTCACCCACTCTTCCCGGGGCTGTCTTCTTGATTCCAGCCAGCCTCGCGGGTGGGAAGCGGTGTCTCCTTGTGGCTTTGAATTTTCTTTTTTATTTCTTGCATTTGAACTTTCATTATGGAAAATTTCAGACATCTACAAAGTCCATGGACCCCAGTACCCAAGACTCAGCTCAATCACCAGGTCCTGCCGTTCTCCTTCCCTCTCTCCACCACAATCGCTCCTCCTTGTCAGTCATCATTTTCACCTTACCATTTTGCAGGTATCATGATGTGCACTGAAACGCACCAGCCAGAGCTGCATTTAACACACGGATACGCAGTGCAGCCTTCACCCCTGTTAATATGATATTGAACATCCCCCCACCCCCCGAAACTCCCCCCATGGCCCTTCCCAGTCAGCCCAGGGCACCTGCCATCAAAATGGGTGACTTCGCCCCTTCTTGAACACGCCGTAGGYGGAAATGCTGCATCCGGCTTGTTCGGTTCCACGTGGGGCCTGTGGTCCCTGGTCCCACTCTGGCCTCCTGGGGCTGCCTCTCTGCCTCTCCCTGGATGAAGGAATCAGGGCCCTTCTCATTCCCACGGGGAGCCAGCCCAGGAACCGGGTGACACCCGGGCCCTGCCTGCCTAGGATTGAGGGGCTTTCTAAGACCAGGATTTTCTGTGCTCAAACCCAGAAAGACGTGGGCAGACTAGGGACCAGTTGGAGCTGTTCCCTTCCCCAGAGAGACAGGGACCGGAACTCCCTCTTCTTTCCTTCCTCCCCTTTTCCCTTGCCCTCGCCACCTCCCGCTGCCAGCKGCACATCCCCTGGGCGGCAGAGCGGTCAGGTGGAGTGAGGTGGAGTCCTGCTGCAGTGCAGGGAGGGACCGGGCCAGGCTGTGGGAGGACAGGGTGCGCCCGGCATGAACAGCCAGGCACCAGCACCGGCCACGGCGGGGGTGGGGGGCGGTGGGGGGGCCTGCAGGCCCTCTCAGCCCTTCAGGATCCCCTCAGGAGCCCTGTGTTGGTCTTCCCACACCACAGGCCTCTAGAGCCAAGGGGAACAACCCCGGGGGTCAGTGAACAAGAGGCCTTGTAGGGGGAATCTGGCCCAGAGTCCAGCTCTCCGGTGCTTCCACATCTAGGGGCCTGGCCAACCTGCACATTCCTGGGCCCCACCCAGGGTGGCAGCTTTGTGGGGGCCCAAGAACCTGCACTTGCAAAACCCCCCTGGGATCTTCTGATGCCCGGGGTTCTGTCTCAGCTTTGAAAAATTCCGAGTGTGTCCCAAACTCTCCATTGGAGACTGAAGCACAGAGAGAGTAAGGACTATTTCAAGGTCACACAGCAGGACTGGAGATTCAGGATCCCAAACTCTTGAGCTTTCTAGGATCCGGAGCAGACCCCAGGTCCTGAAGCCACCTCAGAGGGTAGAGAATGTCTTCAGCAGGAGGAGGGGGACCTGGATGCCCTCCRTTTGAGCCAGGAGGCTATTGTCATGTCGGTCACATGCCCAGTCGTCACTGCGGGCCGCCAACGCTTCATATGCATGGATGGCGTGTGCCCACCAACCTTCAGGGCACAGACAACTGGAAGCCCAGAGGGGACAGATGACCCCCTGAGTAAGTGGGCAGCTGGGATTTGAACCTGGGCCACAAACGCTCTGGGCTCCATCTCTCAACAGCCCTCCCTCTGCCCCCCACCCTACACAGACCCGACRGAGGTCAAGGAGAACAGAGCCCAGCCCTGGACAGGCCAGTGAGACCTGGGATGGACCCGCCCCTTTCTCTTTCTCCCGCAGTCAGACAGAGAGAACATTTTGTTTTAGGATTCCTCTGGGCCCAAGCCCTGGAAATAATTTCTTTTTCCACTTCAGAGCGTTTTAATCTAAAAACCCGCCATTGTCAACATGCTGCTTTTCACAAGGGCAGTGGGCTTTGGCCATCCATCCACTCATCCATCAGCTGTGTRCTTCTGTGTGTGTTATTAATACTTGGGTTCTTAACCCTGGCTGCACATTAGAATCTCCATGGGGCTTCTGGAAAATTCTACCACTCAAGTGAAAACCCAGATCAACTAAATTAGGATCTCTGGGCATCTGGCCTGGACATCGGGGTGTTTCCAAGCCTCCCAGGTGATTCTTCGGCACAGCCAAGGTTGAGGCACGTTTGAGCAGGGCCTCTCAAACCTCAAGGTGCACCAAATCACTGTGGAGTCTGTTAAAATGCAGAGGCGGGGGGCAGGGGGTCAATGCCTTGGTTGGAGGACCACACTCTGAATAATACCAGGCTAGTGGGACCACGTTAGACGTTAGGAGCCGGGGCAGGGAGCTGAGCAACACAGGGTGGCCACAGAATGGCCCCACCTGGCTGGAACCAGCAAGGAAGACAATGGCTGGGTGAAGGTCGCCACCACGTGTCACAGGGACTGGACTGCAGCCTTGGGTCCCTCCAGCCCCCAGAGCTAGGTCTGCTGCCCTCACCACCTTACCCCAAGAGCTAACACACGCCTGGCACACAGGGGACCCTCAATTCATTTTTGTGGACTCAAAGAATGAGGGACAATAGCTGAAGTTACAGAAAGAGCTTATGGTGGCTGAGACCTGGGTCAGGGTCAGACACCACCATCTACTAGTTCTGTGAGCTCAGGCAAGTCGTGGCACTACTAGGAGCCATTTCCTGAGCCATGAAATGAGGTCACACCACTCACTCACAGCATTGCCAAGGGCCAGCACCAGAGCAGTGTGGCACCYGGAAAGAGCTTACATCAGCGAAAGTGAAGGTTGGCCTCCATGACATGGAGGCCCTAGGAGCCAGGCTTGGAACGAAACAGCAGTGGATGTCTCTCTTGCAGACAGTCCCCATTGAGACCTGGGGGAGTGGGTGGCTCCTATTCTGAGACCCAGATTTTTCCACCTGGAGGGTCTATCCTCCCCAGAGCGCTGGTCCCACCTGCCATTCTGAGCTACACTGCAGGCCCACCTGTGCGTCCTGGTGCAGGGAACCGGGAGTGTGCAGCCGCTCACCCCCACCCCTGGGCCCAGAGGTGGTTCTCCATGGGTGAGTTGCAAGGGAGGCTGCAGAGGGTGGCCTCAGATCCAGCCGAGCAGCCTTGGAACCAGCCACAACCTGAAACTGCAAAAGAGGAGGCTGGGGGRACAGCTTGGCCGGCTGACCCATCCAGGAAGGCTTCCTAGGAGAAGCCGACTCCCCACTTCCCGTGCCTTGGGGTTCTCCCACCTGCCTCTCGTTGCTCTCCCCCCAGGGCGAATGTTCTCACAAATGCTACTACATCTTCGTGGTGGAGACCATCTGCGTGGCCTGGTTCTCCCTGGAGTTCTGCCTGCGGTTCGTCCAGGCCCGGAACAAGTGCCAGTTCTTCCAGGGGCCGCTGAACATCATCGACATCCTAGCCATCTCCCCGTACTACGTGTCGCTGGCCGTGTCCGAGGAGCCCCCGGAGGACGGCGAGAGGCCGCCGAGCAGCAGCTCCTACCTGGAGAAGGTGGGGCTGGTGCTGCGCGTGCTGCGGGCGCTGCGCATCCTCTACGTGATGCGCCTGGCRCGCCACTCGCTGGGGCTGCAGACGCTGGGCCTCACGGTGCGGCGCTGTGCGCGGGAGTTCGGGCTGCTGCTCCTCTTCCTGGCMGTGGCGGTCACCCTCTTCTCCCCTCTGGTCTACGTGGCGGAGAATGAGTCCGGCCGGGTCCTGGAGTTCACCAGCATTCCCGCTTCCTATTGGTGGGCCATCATCTCCATGACAACGGTGGGCTACGGGGACATGGTGCCCCGCAGCGTGCCAGGCCAGATGGTGGCCCTCAGCAGCATCCTGAGCGGGATCCTCATCATGGCCTTCCCRGCCACGTCCATCTTCCACACCTTCTCCCACTCCTACCTGGAGCTCAAGAAGGAGCAGGAGCGGCTGCAGGCCCGCCTCTGCCGCCTCCAACGCGCCAACTCTGCCAGCGAACATGAGCTCCTCACCGACGTGGACGACCTGATGCTGGAGGGCCCCGCCTTGCCCATCCCCCAAGTGTAGCTCAGAATCCCTCCTGAATGCACCCTGTAGCCCCAGCCCATCCCTCTGGCTGAACCAAGCTCCAGAACCCCGGGGCAGACCAACTGGCCGCAGGTCTCCAGAGCTCCAGAGAGCCTCCCAAGCCAGGAGGCTGCCCGGCCAAAGATGTCTGTCGCTGTGATCTTTGGCGGTCATGGCCTCCAGATCCAGGCCAGCCTTCCCCAGCCACCTGCCTCCTCCCCTCCTGCCCATCTGCTGAGCACAGCCCATCCTCCTGAGCCGGGCCATCTCCCTGCCTTCTCTCTTCTCCCCAGCAGTCTGCAGCATCCCACTCTGGGACCTGATGCCCACAGAACTGGTTAAATGACGAGCCTGCAGAAGCCCACTCTTCCCTAGGACCTGCTTTCTTGGGCCGCATCACCACAGGGAAACCCTTCTGCTAGACCCCYGCCCAGCCCCACGTGCTCTCAACCTAACCTCCACCAGCCGATTTCCCGAGGGGGCAGCTGCCAGCCCCCTGCTCTGGAAGCTCTGTGCCAAGAAGGCAGAACTAGGCTGGTGTGGGGTGCGTGGCCTCAAGCCTGCCATCCTCTGGCCAACCTGGGACCTGGGCGCAGCAGCACTTGCCAGCAGGGCACAGAAAGCCCTCCTTGGCTGGCCAGGCTCTTGGAGGGACATTTTGCAGCCACCCAGCCCTTGGCTACAGAGGCCGACTCTCCCGGGGCACTGTGATGTCTGCTGCTGGTTCCTCCAGCCTGCAGGGACCTCAGCTCTCCAAGCTCAGCCGAGACACACGGACGCAGAGCCCCTGCCAGGGTCTACCCCAGCTGGCTCCTGGACCAGGCCACGGGACCGACATTCTGTTTATGTCTAGATGTGTGTGTTCCTCTGTGGGTTTATGGGCAGATTGACCCTTGGCACCCGGGAGAGAAGCCAGGCTGAGGGCCACAGTGCTGGGATGAGGCAAGGGGTCCTGAGGTCAGGAGAGAAGACAAGGACCTCTGGAGCAGTGGACGCCTAGAGGCCTAGAGGCCCAGAGGCCCAGATGGGCTGAGTGCTTAGGGGCATTTGGGGGAAAAGTGGGTTGAGATGAGAGRATGCAGATCCACGGAGCTTTGTAGAGGTGGTGTGGACAGACGGTGGGTGAGGACAATGACAACGGTCGAGAGGATGTGAGACCAGACTGACTGGGGGTGACTGAGCAGAGAAGCAGGGCCTGCAGGGGACCTCCTCCGGGGAACTCACCAGACAAGGTCGAGTCACCTCTGGAGTCTCTCTCGTCTTTTGTCTCTCAGCGGAGCACACCTAGAAGATGTCCCCATGGCACTCCGCAGGAGTGACGGGGCCCTGCACTGTTGGCCTCTGTTGGCTGAACGTACACTGGGCTGGGAAAGTGCATGGGACACAGATGAGTCTGAGCCGGGGACCGGGACCTGCGGGTACAGCATGGCCTCACAGGGGGTGGTCGGCACGTCATCGCTGATGACAGGTCCCTTGCTGTTAGCTCCTTCCACTGGTGTTTAGGCCTCTCTGTGCCAGGCCCASGTGGCCCTACCGCGACACACAGCCGACGGCTCTGGCGCGGAGCACCAGCACCGAGCCTGAAGTGAGCTTTGGCCTGGCAAGGAGCCCTGGATTCCTTCGACTCCTCAGATGTCCCCCCAGCGGTGCAGGCACATGTCCCCATCCCTTTACACCTCAGCAGTCAGCGGGTCACCAAGCTGACATTTCTCCAAGTAAGCAAAGTGACACAGTGGCCACCGCCCAARGAAAGTCTCTACCATTCCTACTTCTCACGGGCTGCTGTGCTCTGGGAAATGGCTGGCCAAGTCTCACAGGCATTGGGTCAAGTTCTGGGGACCCTGGAACAGTAGCCATGAGTCTTTTGTCCCAGGCTGAACTTTTTGGTAACTACTCTTGGGCAAAATTTTAAAAGACAAAGGCTCCCACTTWCTCTCTTCCGGGGGCTGGACAACTCGGTGCTGCCTGAGGCCTGGACTTGTCACTCCCTCCGTGACTCTGGGCGGCCCTCTTTCTCTGGCGATCAACGGCTGGTCAGGCTAGATCCTGACCGGGGTGTTCTGACCTGAGCTCCACAGACTCCCTTCAGGGCCTCGTGGCAGAGAAGATCAGCCAAGCGGGCAGAGCTCTGGCAGCCAGGGCACCACCCTGGCCACCAGCGATGTTTGGAATCTTGCAAAAATCTCTAGACACCTCCTCCCCCAGGCAGTGCCTGCCCACAGCCCCTGGAGCTGAGGTGGAGGCTCAGCCCTGGGACCAGAGCAGAATCCTCAAGAGACACTAGAAGACCTGGGTCCTTGGAAGCCCCCACATCTGCCCCCTCTCCTGACTGAGGACATGTCTGCTGCGGTGACTCCTAACTGCAGCTCTGCTCACCACCGTGACTGGCTCCCACCTAGAGGTCTCCACTGTCCTTGGTCCCACCCACCAGGCCTCTCCACAGAATGTGCCAAGGCTAAAGGAAAAGTTGAAAACCAACATCAGATGAGCCACCGTCATCGCCGTGAGGTTCTAAAGTGACTCCCCAGGCGCCTGGGGGAATTCTCCACTAAATCTGAGATGGTAAATTGCAATCAGTAAGGCTTGCATGTGGGGCTTAATTAAGGCTCTATTTTTTCTGCTGCTAGTGTCCCAGGAGACGGTCTGAGTCGCCTTGGCCTGTCCTTGCTGGGCAGCCTCTCCTGCCGGTCGGGAGTGTCCAGCTCCTGTAGGCAGCGCTCCATCCCCATTGGCTGAGAGAGCCTGCGGACTCCAGAGGGCTCCTTCTCTCTGGGGCCACAGGTGGACGTTGTCCACTGATGGCAAGGAGAAACGACCTTCACTTGGAGCCATTTTTCAGGGGGTACCCGTCCAGGGTCACGTTCCTGGCGATGGCTGCCATCTGGTTCAGCGTCCCTCTAGCTGAATGGCGATGAGCCCGGGCAGCACGTCGGGAGGATGAGTGRAACCTTGAATGGTTTGGAGGGATTCTAGTGGGGCTGCACCAGGGAGTGTCCCAGGAACCCACCGACTCTATGTTGATGGCTCCTAGGACTTAAGACTATGGGAGTTCCATCAGACTAAGTGAGTCTAAACAGGGAGTGTCCACAGGGGCCCAGAGGGGTGGGCCTCTTGGGATGACGTGCAGGTTGAAGTGCAGAGTGGCCACAGAGTTCACCAGTTACTCAAAGGAATCACAATCCCTCAAAAAGAATGAAGAACTCTAGAGTAAATCAACTCCCTCATTTTAAGATGGAGAGAGGAAGGTTCAGAGASGGAAGACCACCTGCCCAGGGCCACACAGCCAACTCATCTAGTCAGCTCCACCATCCTGACTCCCAGCAGAGCACCCTTTGAGGGCATCCTGCTGAAGCTCTCAGGCTACCAGGCCACTCTGTCCTGAGCAGAGTCAGCAGCATTGTCCAGCACATTGTGTAACACTAGACCTGGGGGTCCACTTCTCTGGCCCTTCCTTTCCTCACTTATTCCACAGGGACCATGCAAGAGAGGCCTTGGGTCCTCATCAGCGGGGGGCGACTGTGATTCTGGGAAGAGGGGCAGCTGCGGACAGGAGAGCGCTGGCTGAGAAGGAACCAGCTGTGGACACGTCCCAGGCCGCGAAGTGGCTCCTTGGCAAAGCGGCGAGTGGCTCAAGCCGAATGTGTCCACTGATGTCCCTCCCTGCATCCGCCCACCAGCCCCTGCCTGCCCACCTGCTGCCACACCCCCAATCGCCWGGCCGCTGGCAGTGGCTGCCCACCACCCAGGCCCCTGGAGCCGCCTCCTGAACCCTGGCCCTCTTCTTCCTGGATCYGGGGATGACAGGCGTCACTGCTGGACGACTGCTAGGCCCCCACAGTGGGCTTTTCAACATTTTCTTTGGAAAACCCATCAAACACACACAAGAAAAGCTGCAAGAACAAAAGTAGTGGTAGAAGACCCCGGTCCACCTTTTCACCTGTCCATCGACGTTTTTTGACCCGTCTTTATTGTCCTTATCTGCGAGTCGCATGTTTTCCGGAGCCACTGAAGAGCAGGCTGACCGCTGGGGGCCTCTGCTCGCAGATCTTCAGACGCCTCAGCCGCCCGGCCCAAGCGCTGCCCGTCAGGAGTCCCCGGGCGGTTCCAGAGGTCTGGGAACATTTCCAAGTATGGGGCATCCAACTGCCTAAGTGAGCTGTATCCCTCTCGGGTGTCATATCTGGGGGTACCACGTCCCTTGTCAGTGATAGGCAAGCCCTTTGGTTGGAAATGACCCCAGGAAATGCTGGCAGGGGACTGGAGACTGAGAAAGGAGTCCAGGGGCCTGGGAGTGCTGTGGCTTGGCCCAGGGATACTCAAATCCAAATCCAAAATGGACCTGCTCCTCTCCCTAGCCAGCAGGACAGGCAGCACGTGCTGACTTGGCTGGGCACGTTCTGGCCACTCCGGCCACTTGTGTGCGGAGGACAGCATGTCTTTCTTGCAGGTGAACCCGTTCCCAAGGCTCAGCACATCATCTCTGTCCGCCTGTGACAAGAAGGGGACCCTCCATTGTCTTTCCCAGAACCTGACCAGCTTCACCRATTTTTAGAATTAAAAAGACTTTAATGATCACTGGGTCCAACTTGCCCACTTTACAGGTGTAGACAGGCCCAGAGAGGGGATGTAATTGGGCAAGCCACACAGCCAGTGCTGGCAAAGCCCGGACTCAGTCAGGCTCTGGATTCGCCATCCCGTGCTCCCAGTTCTGGGCCACCTGATCCTGCCAGCGCCTGTCTGTGTGCAGCATCTGACATCCATCCAAGGGGCACCTCCAGGAATGTGGCGTTGTTAAAAATAAAACACGAGGAGCCCAGACTCCAGAGAAAGGTGGCGGCGCCCGTCAGCTGCCGTCTTCCGTCACTCACCTTTGCCACAAGGAGAACAAAGCCGCRGGGAGGCTGGGCTCCATGTGATGTGGCTTGGGAGAATCTGGGTGTCCTGAGCCAAAATTAGCCAATCTTGCTCTCCTGAAGACTTTCCTGGTGCTCAGCAGTGGC